AAAAAGAAAAATGAAATGATGTGATACTTTGTTTTTCTAAAATAATTTTTTTCTATTACATACAATATCTGAGAAAAATTCGTATTGATTGGTACTTTTATATCCTCATTTGAATCTATATCTATAGCACTCACTATCTATCATAGAAATCGAATTACTTGTCGTTGATAAGAAAAGAAATTTTAATTCATATCTTCGTCTCTTTTCGCCGTACTACATGCTACATTTTAGAAAAAAGAAAAAAAGTTTAAGAACCCCTTACCTAATATAAATAGAATAATAAAATAAAAAAAACACACACACACTGAATATTCTAACGTTTTTCTATTAATTGATCAAATTCTAGACGAGAGTACACCTAATTAAATTTTTTAAAATTGAACAAGACTAGTAATTAATCTATTAAATGATACAGAAATTAAATTTAATAAAAGCCTTTCAGATCAATGATTTTATTTATAAGAGAATAGATACTAGTACAAATCTTCAACTGTGCTCTCCTAGGACAAAGCTTGATCATTGGGTTTCAGACTTCTTTTTTGGCTTTGATGAATTGCTTGCTTTTCTGAATTAATTTGGAATTTCTATTGACATATCAACCTTTTATTCTTAGCTTGCTCCTGTTTATTTCTTTACTGGAGATGGTATAATGAAAGAATGACATATATGGAATTAATTCTTAAATTCCCTCCCTTTTCTTTATGCAGGATCAGCAGAGAAAAAAAAGACTGCTATTGAAGAGATATCATCTTTAGACCTGAAAACGTAAGTAAACTGCATATTTATTTCTGTATGTGGGTTGTTTTTTGTAATTGTCTTGATGTAGCATTATGTACATTTTGAATTGGTGTCTAAGGGCCAAGGTTCCACTACCTCCTTTATTCATCCATCTTATTACCACCTACCAGTCCTACCTGCCATTTAGGGGTGTAATTGAGCTGAGCCAAACCGAACTTTGGCATGTCTTGGCTTGGTTTGACTAAAACATTTCTATGTCCGAGTTCAGCATGTCTTGGCTTGGTTTGAATAAAATAGTACTATGTCTGAGTTCAAATTTGAGTTAGATTTGAACTCTATTTTCTGGTTTGAGCTTGATTCAATTAAATATTTGATGAGTTTGAGAGCCTATAAAACTAATATATTTTTATATTTTATAAATATAAAATGAATGTGGCAAAAATGCGAATGCTAAGATGGATGAGTGGAAAAACTAGAAAGGATAGGATTAGGAACGAAGTTATTTGTAAGAACCTAGGAGTAGCTCCAATAGGTGAAAAAATGAGAGGGAGTAGACTAAGGGTTTGGGCATGTGTATAAAAGACCACCAACTGCGCTAGTTAGAAGAAGTGATTTATTACACATTGAAGGGGCTAGAAGAGCTCAGGGTAGACAAAAAAGGACATGGGTAGAAGTACTAAGAAATGATTTCAGCACTAATAATTTAACAGTGGATATGGCTCTAAATAGGACAGATTGGTGAAATGGGATTCACGTAGCCAACCCCATATAGTTGGGATAAGCATGGATGATGATGATGATAAATAAATATTATATTATAATATATTTTTTTGTTATTCTATACATGTGTGTGTGTGTATTAGCCAGGCAGAGTCGAACTTTTTATTGCTCCAATTTGAATTGAGCCTAATTGTACTCAAGCTGGAACTGTTCAATTAAAGCGATTCGATTGCACCCCTACTCCACCTCCAAGGATCGGTAGCCAATAGATTGTGCAAGCTTTAGTCCCTATTGTAAGGAAAGAATTTCTGTCCTGATTGTAAGTTCCCATTACCAACAGGCTATGAGTGGATCAGAGCATAAGGTTTCCAAAAGCATCAGCCATCCCAGAAGGGCCAGGCTTGCCTATTTAGCAAGCATGAAAGTTTATCTAATCTCACGTCCTGCCAAAGTTCAACTGATGTCACCCCATGGGTTTAGGATGATTTGAGCATTCCAATTTCTCACTATGTCATCCATGGTTAACAGCCTGAATTCCTGCTCTGTCTATAAAAAGTGGATCACCCTGATTGTTATTAGATCAATCAGCTCTTCCAATTGATGCCAATTATATCTGAGGGTTCTATCATTTTTTCTCTTTCCATAATCCATACTGCCTATAACACAGCTGCTCTCATAATATCCTAATCATCCTTCCCCTTCTAGTGCTTGGGGAGAACACTAGCAAGAAGAAGCCATTTGCATCTTCTGGTGCTTTCTCCAATGTCATCCCATAGCCTTTGTTCATACGTTTTTGTCTCAACCATCAATTCAATATCAAAACATGAATGGTTGCAGGTGATGTGGTATGTGAGTAGGGGCGGATGAAGGATCAAATTAGAGTAGGGTAGATTAGATAGAGATGATTATGGGATCATGTGTTAAAGCTACCAAAGAACATTTTATGGAGGAGGAGATAAGCTCTGATCTCTGTTGGTAAGGGGGCACTTACTTGGTATAATGGTAAAACCTTGGGTTGGCAAGCATGAGAACGCAGGTTTGGGTAGCCACTTTGTGTGAAAACATGCAAAAGGTTAGGACCGTACCTAGTGTCTCCCCCCCAAAAGAACTTTTTTCTAGAAGGAAGAAAGACAGTTTATTTATGGTTTTTTTTTCTTCTTCTCTTCTCTTTGTTTTTCTGCACAAAACCAGAGGATATCAGCCCTGGTTTCTGTCAGTTTCTTCAGACCCTAGCAGTTTCAACTTTCAACACTTCTAGAACTCAGTCCCTTCTTCCTTAAAACAAGTAGTTCAAGGACTGCTTCAGTGGACTGTGCAGCAGGGCTACTCATCAAGCCTGCTTTTTTTTTTTTATGGGAAATGGTAACTTTCATTAACAATAATGGATAAAGATTACAACTTCCACCATCCAAGGGCCAGATGAGGAACCCTTTGATAAAAATGCCTCAAAAACAGGCCAAAACAACTCCTGCTTTCAACTCTTCCTTAGCTAAACATGAGCCATACCATTTACTGATCTTCTTGCCCAAATAAACCTCACCCCAATCTCGCTTGCTAAGCCCGAGATTTCTCTTAGCTGTTGTCTGAAAAGCCAGGTGCCCAAGCTTCTAGATTGCAACCAGCCTATTACCAGTTTGGAGTCTCCCTCCACTTCTAACTGCTGCAGTCCTCATTGCTTTTCCAATCTGAGACCTTGGAGTAAAGTGAGAACTTCTGCCCTTAAGGAGTCTCCCACTCCTACAGGGCCTGAATACATGGCCAGCACACTACCCCACTCATCAACCCTGCTTGTTACACCTTAAAACTTAAAACAATAGGTACATCTTGGTAGCTGCATTACCAACCTAGTGGTTGGACCATTCAACCTATGACCCAGTGACCAAAATGGTTTTGCATCCCGTTGAAGTCTGACATTATGCTTTCTTTCTTTCATGATGTTAAAGATATGTTTTAATTTCAGTTAATTGTCAATTAGCTTGCTAAACTCTTCTAAATGACAGGGGTATTGATATCACTGAAGCATTGCGCCTACAAATGGAAGTTCAGAAGCAATTGCATGAACAACTTGAGGTAAAAACTTATGATTGAGACACATTACAATGAAGCCTTGATATGTTTCCTCCTCCAGATATGATTGGACAATTTAATTAGCCAAGGTTAATCTCATCCGTGCATTTCAGATCTCTGTCTAGATACCATTCAGCCCTAAACCCTTTTGCTTCTTTCTTAGAGAAACTTTAACTTCAATTTCCTGAATTCTACAGTATGCTTCTTATCATCAATCAAAATGGTTTCTAGGCTGCTTGGTTCTTAGAAATGTTACTTAATTAAACTTTTCTTAAATACATGTGAAGTATCTCTTTTTTTATTGGTAAGCAGTAACTTTAAACTTTATTTGACTAAATATCTTTATAACATGTAGTATTTATTATTTTAAGCTTTATTTTGATATAAAAAAAAATCTTTAAAATATCATCTAAAGTTATTTACCTTTTTATTTTTTTCCTAATCTAGTGAGTTGAACGGATGAACTGGATGGCCATACTATTTGATCTGTGACCCATTGACAAAAGCAGTTCTGTCTCTGGTCCAATTCTGACAACATCACTTATTAAGGTTTCCTACTGGTCTCTTTAATGTTCAGTTTCTATCCATTGAAACCTTTGGACTGTGAAGCAAATAAACTACTTAAAATTCAATAAGGTGCAAGTGAGTTCTTGAAGTTATTAAAAGATTGGCTTCCAATTGAGGATCTGTTCTCTAATCCTTTCCCCTTAGTTGTTATTACCATGAATTTCTAATGTCAAATTAACTGCTGAGGCTGATTAGGAAAAATGAATGGTTATTTGTTACATTATCACCATTGTTCACATTGAAGGGTTTATGCTTGCATGATGGGTTTCGATGGGCATGTCAAATGAACTATATAAATTCATGTAGCCAACCCCATATAGTTGGGATAAGGCTTAGATGATGGTGATTATGTCTTATAAACTATAAATTCTTTTGGGGTTCCAGCTGCGGAAAATGCATCATCTATATCCCATTCAGTTTCTGACTTCAGACTTTTTCACATGTGATCTGTAGCCTATGGGAGATCCAGTTGTATAGTTATTGCTTTGGTGTTGATTCACTTGCAATGACCTAGCAACTCCATTGTTATCTGTCCCTGTGCTAGTTTGAAGCACCAATATCTGTCATGAAAGTAATTTAAGTTTTCTAGCTCCAAATTGTCTGGCTTAGCAGTTGCAAGGACCTAACCTCTCCATTCTTTCCTTGGGATTTGACAATTATGGTTTCTTTTTTCTGCTTATGTTATCCCAAAAAACAAAACAACTGTAAAATCCTTTGAYAACATTGTGATCCCAAAAAACAAAACAACTATTGAAAAAGCATCTCAGCTTTAAGTTCCCCTATTTACCCTTGTATTATTTACTCTGTTGCACCCAGTATGTAGGTGATTTGTTCATACCTTGGTATAGTTGGACACACCATGAAGACTTGCAGACATTGGATATATTGTCATAAAACAATAGTTCTTGGTATATTATTCATCAAAAAAATAGTTCTCAGTATATTCTTATCTCCTTGGTTCCCATCTCAGATTCAGAGAAATCTACAATTGCGAATAGAAGAACAAGGGAGGTATCTTCAGATGATGTTCGAGAAACAGTACAAAGCGAATAATGATGAGTTCAAGGGCTCGTCCTCCAACCCACAAGAACCCTCTACTGCATTATCGGATACAATGCAACAGCAATCCTCTACTCAAAACAGAGTGGATGCCCTAAAGGTTTGTGCTGAAACAGGAAATGACAGCATTGATACCAGTGCTATAGCAGAAGCAAGCTACAAGAAACTGGGTGTGAAGCAAAAAGCGCCTGAAACCCACAGTTGTGAGGATCTAGAACCAGATGGCATTGATGATATAACTATTCCATCTGCTATTCCATCCACAAAGCGTGCAATAGCAGATGATACAACTATTCCATCTGCTAAACCAACATCGGACAGACAAGCCAATACTGCTGATATTCCAGCTCCTAAAGATACAGTAAGCATGAGTACTGAGGATCTGAGTAATGGTTAATAAGTGAAAAGTACTTTGTTGACTGCTACAAGGAGTTTTGGACACCATACCTCTTTGCCTCTCCTTTTGGGATTGGACAATGGTATACACTCGTGATGGTCAATAAAAGTTGTATTTTTTTTTTTTCTGAATTTTGTCTAATACGCTTGTCAACTTGTTTGTGCCCCCGCTCTGGCGGGGCAAAGGTATGCCAAACAAAGGGAGCTACTGTGTAAGGGACTTCTATTAACTCTTAAGAGCCAAAACCTTGGTTATATCTAGAAAAAACTTGCTAACACAATCTGTAATACTACAAAGTTGTTCCATTTTTCATATTTCTGTGCATCCATTTTGTTTCCAAACTAACAAGATTTGAAGTACATTGAGAATGAAATGACACTTTAGGAGTTTGGCAAAAGGTTCTAATGCTGACTGCCAACTTGAAATAACACTTAATTCATGAGGAGGGGGGGGGGGGTGAATTTCACATAAACCTAAGACAAGCTCAATATGTGAAGTTCATGCTTCATCAAATCTCAAATCTGTATGTTCAATGAAGAGTTTTATTGGGATCATTGGAACAACCTATCCATGTTCTATGTTTCAGTTTAGAAATTCTAAGCAATTTGTCTTCCTTCTGGGGGTAAATTACTTTATACTTCCCCTGGGGTTTTGGTCAAATGCTAAGACCTCCACTCAAGTTTACCAATAAGCATCTCATTTAGGGTCAAGTTATTTATTCTGAGTGTGATCTGCTGTGGTAAATTCTGTGCGCATGTTATGAACAAGACACTTCGGTTGCACATTGGTAACATCTCATTAATGGCAATATACAAGTATCAGAGAGACCTCCTGATGATGTGCAGCTATAGTGTCATGCATGGTTTTTGAACTGCTGTTGACCTGAACAGTTGGGCCGTTTCAGCCCGGTAACCGTCCAGGCAATCGGTTACGTTTTACCTCAAACCTGGTTCTTGGCCAAAAACCGTCAAAAAAGTCAGACTTGTTGACTCGGGTGGTTGAACTGTCGACCCGTTGACTCGTTCAATGGTTTTTACTGCTTTTTATTTTTAATTATTTTTTATTTTTTTGTTATAACAGGTCGCTCATTCAAACTGGACAGTCGGGCTGTTTATCCAAAAACCGATAGCTAAAACGGTTCCATTTTCGAGTGCGCAATGTTACTAAGCAACAGATCTGAAATCATTTATTCTACCCTCTACTGATATGATGTCAGCTTCAGTGACTGAAAGCGTTCAGATAAGGTCTAAAACTTTGTTAACATGCCCATATGACTTGTCATGTGACCTTACTTTGTTGTTGGTTTGTGTCCCAAGTCAAAGGTAGAAGAAAGATGAATAGTGAAAAAAAGAGCCTTTGTACATGGGCATTTTCATAATTTTACCTGTCACTATAACTTTTTTAAGGGAATTGGACTTTCAGGCCCATATGGAATTTCAGGCCTTAAAGTGACTAACCCCAAAATATAGAGTACCTATATGCAATTTACCCTAAAACTTTTTAAGAGTTTGTTTTAATATTGTTGATGATTTTGTATAGGTTTATGAGTTAATTTTATTGATTATTTGTTTAGGTAGTGGGGACCATAACACACTTGTTGGGACTTTTTGGAGTCTTTTAGAGGTTCTTTATTAAGATTTTGTGTTCAGCCGCCATATAAGGGCATACTTGTTATTGTACCTATTTTTACCTTTAAGTATTAATAATAATGAGAGGGGACATATAGAACTGATTGCTCTCTTATTCTTTTCTCTATTCTTTTTTTTTTCTCTCTTCTCTCAAGAACACTTCCTTTCTTCATCTTTTCTACAGTTTTTTTTTTATTATTTATTTCTACAGATTTCTACTTGGTATCATAGTAGGTTTTGAGCCTTTTCTATGCTCCCATCATGTAGCCATAGATCATTCGATTGCATGATGAGTTAGAGGATTGATTGAAGACATAAAAAGTGACCAGTTTTTGGATTTTTTGGTGGATTTAGAACCCCTTATGGAAGATTTAGGGTTGACCACCAAAATCAGGAAGAACTGGAGAAGGGGGAAGAATCCCGATTGCAGTAGGACTTTTCAATTTTAATATGGGAAGCGGTGATCTAGATTTTTTAAATTTCTTGGTGAAGTTTTAAGGGGTAGTTCAAGTTCCAATGATTTACGAAGTCTTAGAGGGAGTGACAACCTTTTCTCTTCTTTCTACTTGCTCTCACAAAGACTGGAATCTTGGTAAAAGGAGGTTTATGAGTGCTAAAAGGGGGATTACGACATCTGAAGGTGATAAATTTATTTTTTCTCACCTATGATTGCTTTTCTAATCTATTCTAAGATTTATGAAGGGTTTGAGCACTGAGCAGAGCTCAATTAGTGACATGGGATTGGGTAGAGTAGTCTCTGAAGAATATTTTGGACCTGGGATCATTACCACACTTAAGTTAGATGGTACAAACTATTTAGTGTGGGCACAATCAACCAAGATGGCTATTGGAGTTCATGGGAAATTGGGATACCTTATTGGGGAATAGAAGAAACCTGATACAAATTCCTCCCGATGGGTATAGGAAAATTACATGGTGATGAATTGGCTGTATAATTCAATGTTACCATATATTGGGAAGAATTTTTTGTAGGAGAATACAATAAAGGAGAGTTAGGATGGAGTGACTGAGACCTATTCCCAAAAATAGAATGTAGCTAGAGCCTATTAGTTGAGGAACCATGTGATTAATACAAAACAGGGAGATAAGCCTCTTGCTATGTATTTCTCTATAGGGAGAGTGCGAATGATGCAATAACCTATCAAAAGTTGGTAGAGAAGAATAGGGTCTTTGAATTCTTGGATGGACTGAACCCTAAATTCGACATTGCTAGGCAACACATCATTTCCAAAGAGAGTGACTCTTTCTCAATCTTATGCCTTTGTGTCTAGAGAGGAGAGTAGGAGGAATGTCATGTTGAGGTAGCCTGGAGGTGACTAGTCGATAGACTTGTTCATGGGCCGAGTGGCCTGACGGGCCAGCCCGGCCCCCGGACAGGCTTGAACGTGGTTATAGGCCCGTGGGCTTAAATTCGGGCCAAAAAACCCGGCCCGCAAAAAATTCAAGTCGGGCTTGGGTTTTGTCAAAATAGCCCGGCCAGACCTAATATTAGACTTAAAGTGAGTAATGTGATTATGTCCATTTGAATAAAATTTTTTATTTAAGAATGTAAAACTGTGTTTTAAAATATAAAAGAAAGGGGAAAAAACCATCTTGTAGGCCCATTGTTCATTTAAATAGCAAAAAAAAAACTTTCTGAATTTTTAATTGTAATTTGAATAGGGAAAATTGTTTTTTTTTATTAGGTCGGGCTTCAGGCTTTTTATCAGGGCCGGGCTCGGACCCAAGTTATAGGCCCGTTGATCGGGCCGGGCTCGGGCTCGGACCTAGCATATTTCCCTTAATGACAAGTGAAAGCCCGACCCATGAACAGGTCTACTAGTCAGCTATGATTAGTACAATCAAACCTAAGCCAAATGGAGAAAGGGGAGTAATGAGATCAGGAAGGAGGATAAGGACTTGGTGCGTGATTACTGCAAGAAGTCTAAGCATACCAGAAACACTTGTTAGAAGCTCAATTGACATTTCATACCATCTCAGGTCAAGAACAAGAAGGGAAGTGTAAATGTGGTAGTTACTAGAGACAGGGGAGTAGTGAGGATCAGGAGGGAGGATAAGGATTTTGGTGGGTGATTACTACAAGAAGCCTAAGCATACCAGAAACACTTGTTGGAAAATCCATCCACATTTCATACCATCTTGGGTCAAGAACAAGAAGGGAAGTGTAAATGTGGCAGTTACTAGAGACTCTTTGGGACCTCTTACCCAAGCCGATTTGAGTCCATTGTAATGGCAACAGTCATAATTGAATTGGAAAAGTATGGACAACTTATGAGTAAGAAGGATTTGACTGATTCTAGTTCTTCAAGTGGGCAGCAGAGTGCAGGCACTAGTCACACTACTTCCTTTGCTTATTTAGGTAGTTCACATGTGCACATTATGCCCCCACCTCAAGTAAGGAGGGACCTCCCTGGATTATACACTCAAGAGCATCTAAGCACATGACCAGTATGTCTACCCATTTTAATTATATTAATTTTGTTTCGATAGAGATAAAGTCTCTAAAGCATATGGTTTTTATGTTCCCATTGTTGGGAAGGGAACAGTTAGAGTCACTAATGGGATTACTTCGTCTTCTGTCATACATGTTTATAGGCTTCATACTAACCTTCTTTCTGTAAGTAATTTAATAAAGAATTTGAATTACTCAATGGCTTTTCTTTTTGATAATTGTGTTTTGCAGGATTTGGAGTCAAAGAGGATGATTAGGAGTGGTTGTGAGATGAATAGAGCCTACCTTCTAGATAAGCTTCCAAGATTAGTAGTAGTAGTAGTAATGGGTCAAAATCAGTGAGTTAAATTACGCTCTGGTATAATCGTTTAGGTCCTATGTCTTTCAGTTCTTTGAAATGTTCGTTTCCAAAGTTGTTTGAGTCTGTTTAATCTTTTAGTCTAGAGTTTGAGAATTGTCAACTAGGAAACCATTGTAAACATTCTTTTAAACCAAGTAATAAAAGAAGTTATTTTGCTTTTGATATTATTCACAGTAATGTATGAGAACCTTATCATATTTCTTTCATGGGTGGTTACCGGTATTTTCTTTTGCTTGTGGATGATTATACTCAGTATTCTTGGATATATCTAATGAAATCTTGTGATGAGGTACCTATTTTAGTGCGACAGTTCTACTATATGGTTCTCATATAGTTTGGAGTGAGAACTAAGATTTTCATATTAGATAATGCTASAGAATATTTTGATAAGGATTTGGCTACGTATTTTTTGAAGAATTGGGATGATAGAGTAGTTGTGCTTATACACCATGACAGAATGGAGTAGCAAAGAGGAAAAGTAGACACATTATGGAGGTGGCAAGGAGTCTTATGGTGTGTACTTCGGTTCTTGTTCGATTTTGGGGGGAAGCAGTTCCCATGGCTGTGTATTTGATCAACTTTGTTCCTTCACACATCCTAGGGTTCAAGGTTCCATTCAGCCTTTTATTTCCAAATGGGAAGATATTTCATGTACCTTTGGAAGTTTTTTGGTGTGTCTGTTTTGTTCATATTCTTGGTCTTCATCGTAGGAAGTTGAATCTTGAAGCTAAGAAATGTGTTTTTCTTGGGTATGCTTAAAACTAGAAGGGGTACTATTGTTATGATCCAGTGATGGGGAGCAGGTTTGTTACTATGGATGTTACCTTTTTTGAGTCTATATTCTTTTTCTAT